ATTATTCATTTTTAAATGAAATGAACCTATTCTGCAGTGTCCTTTAAGGACATATATATATCAATTTATCAATATATATGGTGGACTTTTTTGAAGTATTTTCAGTGAACAGATGAGCTAGTTTTAGCACTTAAAAGCAAAAGTAGGGCATTGACTAAACTGCTAGGATACTTGCTAACTGTTAATGGCCTGAGTGCTTTTAGCAGTAGTCATCAATGAGAACATATTTTATTCCCACACATTTTACTAACACTAACAGTCACTGGCTTATCCTTTTTACTGGAAGGCTAATAGCTATAGATGCTTCCTTCCTTCCTTCCTTCCTTCCTTCCTTCCTTCCTTCCTTCCTTCCTTCCTTCCTTCCTTCCTTCCTTCCTTCCTTCCTTCCTTCCTGTTTATAAGCCAGATCTTGGTTTCCAGTCTTCCCAGGACCTGTCCTCATCATGTTTGCAGGGTATGTGCCCACCCTTAGGTCTGTTCCTTTTTTATCATCTTTGTCCTGATTCCTTTGGCTCTTCTGTCACAAAAGAAATGCCTCAATTTTATCCTTGCTGTGACATGCTTGCTGATCAGTGTCCTAACTTACTGTCCCCCTTCATTGGACTCTTTCCTGTCTTAGGCTGATTGATAGGCTGTCCACTTCCCTCCTTGGTTGTAGTCTACCTATCCATCACTCTGACAGTACTGTGGCCTCTGTCTTTCATTTTCTTATCATTAAATAAGAATCTTCTGGCCTTCCATTCTTTGAAACCAGAATCTTACTTTTTGTCTCTGTTGTCCTATGGTGTTAAGTTGTGTCTGAAAGGATAGGAAAGAGGCCAGAGTGAATACCTGCCAACTATATGAACTCTTGAAGCCATGGTAGTTAAACTGAGGTAGTATTGATAATGCAATTTTAAATGCTTAACCTTGTAGCACTGATTTTTTTTTTTTGTATTTAGTTACTTTTAAAACGTATGCATAGTTATTTATTGATATAGGGGAAAGTTGTTCATGTTAATATTGATGGGGAGGCATGGAAAAGTGTCATTTATAGCTTATGGTTAGAATCCCATAGAGTTTAGAATACTTAGCTTTAGGATGTAACTTAAGGGTATATCTGTTTGTAATTCAGAAACCAAGACTTGAATAATATTTACTACTTTTTGCATTAGCATGCAAATTTTTCTTTTAAATAAATATATTTTACTTTATTCTTAGGAATAAATTTTTCATAGCAAAATTTAGTAGAAATTACAGCATTACCATGTATCCCTTTGTTTCCTTCCTCCCTCAAACTTACCTTCATTGGCATTCACACCAGTGGTGTGGGTATAACGTAATATTTAGAAAACTGCACTTGATCTGGCTTTTTCCGGGCAGGTACCATTTTCCTGCTGCTCCGGCTCTGGACTGCGGCTCAGGCTATCTAGAAACACAGGCCCTGGCACCCATGAGACACCAGCGTGGTGGCTGGCTTTGCCAATCCACCACACTGTCCACAATGCTCGGCTGAGCCGAGACCATTCCTGCTATGCCGGCGGTACCTGGTAGAATGAAGACTCTTAATGCTTAAAGATTATCCAATGGATTTATATATTTGGCCACATGATTAGAATTGTTACCCAATTATCTAACCTAGATAATATAACCACCTTAGACTGCTAGAGACACACGTAGATCCCCCTCCATCTTTTCTCCTCCTCCTCTTCTCTCCTTCTCCCAACTCTTCACTGCACCTACCTTTCATACAGCCCAATCACCAAGCCTTACTGCAAATGTAGCAGCGAAAATATCCCAGTACATGTGGGTGTTGTGTTTTACAGTCCATGAACTTGCTTTGGACATACATTGCCACACAAAGCCCCTAAACTCCCTAGTACATGATAGTTTATTCTTGGTGCTGCACATTTTATGAATTTAGACAAATATATAGTGATACATTTGTCTAGCTTGTCATATCAGCCTACCCTCTGGTACTCTGCTGAAATTTTTATTTTCTCCATAGTTTTGCCTGTTTCAGGGTGTGGTATGTTTAGAATTTTATAGTATGTAGCAGTATATAGATTTTCAAATTGTCTTCTTTGCCCAAGTAATGTGGATTTAAGGTACATGTGTATCTTTTGTCGCCTGACTTCTCTTTTGCACTGAGTGATAGTTCACAATCTAGATGTAGCAGCTTTTATTTCAATTAATAACGCCTTGGTTGCTGTGGTGGTTTGAATATGCTTGGCCCAGGGAATGGCACTATTAGGAGATGTGACCTTGTTGGAGGATGTGTTTCACTGTGGGCATGGGCTTTAAGACCCTTATCCTAGTAGCCTTCAGAACAAGATGTAGATCTCAGCTCCTCCTGTACCATCCCTGCCTGGAAGCTGCCATGTTCCTGCCTTGATAATAATAGGCTGAAACTCTGAACCTGTAAGCCAGCCCCAATTAAATGTTGTCCTTTGTAAGAGTTGTCTTGGTCGTGGTGTCTATTTACAGCAGTTAAACTATGATAGTTGCTTTCCAATTACAACAATTATGAGTATTCCTCCGGTACATGGGTTTTTGTGTTGAATTTTCTGTTTCCTGGTTAAATAGCAACAAATGTTACTGCTGGGTCATATAGTAAGATGTACTTAGTCTCTCAGAAACTGTTAAAGTATCTTCCAAAGTGAATTATTCACAGGCAAAATCAAGGGAAATCTAGACATTTTGCATTGCCTATGTCATTTTGCTTTACTAGTTCTGTGCCCTCTACCTTTGCTCCATTGTTACTTTTGCACTTACAAAGACTAACTGTAGGTGAGCGATTCTCGGGGTTCTCCATTCTGTTCTCTTGTTCTTCTTTTTCTCCTATACACACTGATGTCCTTTCTGTGGCTATGTAGTTGTGTTGCAAATCTTCAATTTAAGTAATACCTTTCTTCTTTGTTTCTTCCTTCATGAGTAAATATTCTGAATTCTTTTTTGCATAAACTTTAGAACCTATTTGTTGGTATCTACTGAATACTGTGTTGTGGGGTATTTTTTGGTGGGGGTCAGCATTACAGAGATGAATAGTTACCACATAGATGAAGTTAGAATTGATATTTTGACACTAGTTTCCCTATGAATTTGCAGAGTATCTAATTAATTTCATTTTTTAACATTTTATTTTTATTTTATGGGCAAGTGTGTTTCCTGCACATATGTATATGCACTATGTGTATGCAGTGCCTACTGAGGCCAGAAGAGGGCATTGGCACTTGTGAAACTGGAGTTATAGATGGTGGTATGCCATAATGTGGGTTCTGGGAACTAAACCTGGGTCCTCTACAGAGCAGCCAGAGCTCTCAACTGCTGAGTCATCACTCAAGCCACTTAATTTTATTAATATTATACTTTTTTTAAAATTAACAACAGCTTTTCCATATGGGATTTTTAGTCATACTTTATTTTGTTGACTACCCCCTGTTCTGGTTTCTTGAGTTTTATTTTCTTTTCAGTTGATTTACTACTTTAAAATTCAGTTAGTTGTTGCATGAGAAACTACCATTGGGTCCATCAGTGATGTCATTGCTGACCTTAGATAAAGAGTTGTTTCTATAGAAAAATGAGGAAAGAAATCCACCTTGAAACTATTTTAAAAACAGGAGTAGAGAAATTAGAGATGACACAAAGGGAATACTTTAAAGGAGTTTTTCTATAAAAGGTACAATAAATTGAGGTAAAAGTTGGAAGGGATAGAGAAACCAGTTTGTATTTTAGTCAAGTTTGGGAAAATCCCTTTACTGGGTTCTTGTGGATGTTGTTCACTTGAGAGAGAAAAGCGATGGTGTAAGGCACAGTGGAAGGGAGGTTGTAGAGCTCTGCCCTGTGGAAAGTAGAGAAATAGAAAGCATGGAGGCTAGAGGAAAAGGTACAGTGAATGGTTGGTTGGTCAGTTTCACCCATGGTTTTTCCACTCAGCTATGAGGCCTCAGTGGCAGGTCTGCTGCTATAAAATGCTTTTGAGTTAATGCACTCAATCCTGAGGGATGCTCTCCTTTCCCGTGTCTCTTGGTGGGTCTGTCCCAGCTTCTCTGTATTCCAAGTGATGCTATAAAGGAAATGAAAATAGACTCCATAGGCTAGATGCTTCTCTTATATTTAAAATCTTGATGTAATAGAGTTAAACCCTTTTTCATGCAGCATAAGGGAGGAAAACAAACTTTAGAATCAAGAATTTAGTTTCACGGTGGGAATCTCAGCTCTTTTACCATGTTACAGTATTTAAGATGGACTCTTCACTCTCTCAATCTTTATTTCTTCAAGAGCTGGTAGATTTGTCTAAACTATCATCTTTTCAGTCTACAGTTCTACAGTCCATTAAAATACATTGACCTCAACTTACTTCTATTCAGTCATCTGAATTTGGTTATTTGTAAGTTGGCTCTCTTTGAGTACTTACACAGGTAAATATTTGTGAAATCTGTTGGGAGAACGGAGACAGCCACAGTGAAATTAGAGTAACAGTAGAAATATTTGAGGACTATAAGAACAACCTTTGTTGACATTTGTCATTTGAACTTCACTAGTTTTACGATGTCAGTTTTGCAGAATTAATAGCATGTTAAGCTGATGCCCTATTATTAATATGGTTGCAGTACTGTTTTATACTTACTACTTAAGTAGGTCTTCCAGATCATTTCTAAATTGATGGGTAGTTTAAAAGAATAAAAGCATACAGAATAAAAGCTTACAGACAGCCAGGATAATTTTCCCTGCCAATATTATAGGACTGTTCAGAGGATTCCAAGTGAATTTTAAATCTAATGGAGAATGTTGAATAAAAAGAAGGGTATTTGCATGGTTATAATCTAACCAAAGAGTACTTATTGGATACGGAACAGATAGTAACTAATTTTCTATTCATATGGAATACTTCAGAATTTATATATGTGTGCAGGAGCACATTTTGTTGGTCTTATTGCTTTAGATTGCTTATTTAACTTAGGATGTTTACCTATATTATTTATAGATACGTGTATTGATTTTTAATTTCTTTTAAATAGTGCTGGTCCTAAAGGAGATAACATTTATGAATGGAGGTCAACTATACTTGGTCCACCAGGTTCTGTATATGAAGGTGGTGTTTTTTTTCTGGATATCACATTTTCTTCAGATTATCCATTTAAGCCACCAAAGGTAAGAGCTTATGTGTATATTGATTAATATTTATCCTCTTCCAAAATCTATATGTATATTACTGTAATAATTTGTTTTTAATTGTTGTTCATGAATTAGTATGAAAACTCAGAATCAATTTTTAAAACCAAAAAGTTACTGACTGACTTCTACCTTTTAAAAATAATTTTATATTCAATACAGTTTGTTAACAGTAAGTAAAACAGTGCATTTAAGAAAACATAAATGTGAACATGCAAAACTCCCTCTGGAATAAAACTCATTGATAGCTTTCAGAAATAGGTTGCTAATAAGGATTTGTCTTTATTCCTATATAAGCAAAAACTAGAAAAGTAACAGGGAAAACCAATGCTTACACACTCATTTTGTGCCTTCTGTGAATTAATACAGAATTGAAGAGTGATAGGCTCACATCTACTTTCCTCTTAATTCATTCAAACAGATTGTTTACTTGGGTAACAAACAGAAAACTATAGTTATCCAAAGCTCACATGTGATACTTATTTGAAGGGCTTCTTCCTCTGATTTCTCATTATAAAGTAATCAAGTCAAAACTTAGTCTGTTTAGCTGCATTGGCTAAAGAGGAATCCAGCTCATAACTTGTAAAATGCTTTTCTTGTCTTTTTTTTAAATTAAATAAAACTTTTTAATGCAATATATTCGGATTATGGCTTATCCTCCTCCAACTCCTCCCAGATCTACTCTACGTTCCCTCCCACCCAAATCCACTCCCTTTCTTTCTCTTTCCTTCTTTCTCTTTCCTTAGGATACAGGCATCTAAAAAATAAAATTAAATACAGTAAAAACAAACCAAAACAAATTAAAACAACAAAAGAGCCAAAGATATTTTCTGATTTTTATGGGGTTCCTTCTGTGGAAAAATGCTTTTCATTTTAAATCCTGAAAATATTTTAGTATATTTGTGATTCAGTGTATATCTGTATGTGTGTATCTATTTTATTTATTTTATCTATCCATATCCCCCCCCCCTGGGGGGGGTGGGTGTGGGGGGGTGGGGGAGGGGGTTTTTTGGGGTTAGGTGTCGATATCCCCCCCCCCTTCTGTATGTGTGTTTGTGTGTGTGTGTGAGAAGTCTATAAAGGCTTACTTCATGATTTTTAGAAAGGATATTTTTCTGGACAGTATTCTCTAACACAGTGTAACAATAGTCCCACCTAGTGGTGTGTACCTCAAATTACAGACAAAGATTTCTGTCTCTCTCTCTGTGTTGTCCCCCCCACCCCACCCCATATCTATATCTCTCTCTCTCTCCCTCCCCCCTCACACACACACACACAACACACAACACACACACACACACGCACACACAGTTTCCTCCTCTCCCCCATATCCACTCCTCCCCTTTTTGCTTCCTCATCAGAAAAGAGCTGGATTACAAGAGAAAACAGCCAGAGAGGACAAAACAAGATACAAGACAAGGCAAAAGCCCTCATATTGAAGCTGGACAAGACAACCCAATTGGAGGAAAAGGGTCCCAAAAACAGGCTGAGCAAAGCACTTACCTGAGTATAGCAGAATATTATTGGGAATCATTTCACTAGTTTTGATTGTTTGTGTTTTGCCAAATGTGTTTGGTTCTGCCTTAGGTCTCTAGGCTATCCAGTCTCTGGTTCCTGGCCATCCAGGCAGTGTAGGGCATGGGCTCCCTCAGCGGGCCTCAAGTTAAATCAGATATTGGTTGGCAATCCCACATACTCTTTGCCACCATTGCTCCAGCACATCTGGAAAACAGGACAGAGTATAGGCCAAGGGTTTTGTAGCTGAGTTAGTGTCTAAGTTTGTCTTTCTGTATGTAGGCTATAAAGAATCATCCTGTGCCAAAAAAACTAGAATGTAGGGGTGAAGGCTCTATGCAGGCTCCAGTTTGACCTCTCTGAATTTAGTGTATTATATGAATGTTGCCTCAGCTATTACCCCACCCCACCCCACCCCACCCCCGCATACACACGCTATGCAGAGAGCACCCCTCTGTCCTTGTATCAGCCTGGGTTGTTTAGGGATCTCTATGGGGACCCCCTTTGACCAACAACGCAACCAGATGCTACGCAATCCCACCACTTACCTGACTACAAAAGATGTTCAGTCTCTATATCCTCCATTACTAAGAGTCCTCATGAGGGTCACCTTCATAGCTTCCAGAAAGTTTTCACTGAACTGTTTCCATACTCACCCAATGTCCTCAGTTCAAGCTGTCTCTCCCTGTACTCTCTCCCTTCATCCCTCCCTGCCATACCGGATTCTTCTTGCTCCTGTCTCCACCTGTCCCTAGACAACCTGCAAAATTATTCTATTTTCTCTTCTCACTGAGGTCCGTGTGTCTTCCCTGGAGCTTTCTTTACTTAACCTCTTTGGTCTATGGGTTGTATCTTGATGATCATTTGCTTAACAGTTAATATCCACTTATAAGTCGAGTACATACCACTTGATGGTATTTTCAAATTAAGACTTTGAGTGTTTTTACAGTGTGGCCCATTAGAATCTATGATCCTAAAAGTTATCTTTAGAAGCTCTTAAAGTCTACATGTCTGCCTTGCTAAGTCAGAGTCAGAACCCTCATGCTACAGTGCTATAAACTGGATCCTCATTGAGAAGAATACACATTTAATGTCAGCTTATTACCCACTGCTCAATTTTCATTTTTTGTTGTTGTTTTCAGGATAATAGATGTTTAGTAAACCTTGTGTCAAAAACAAAATAGCAGTAACAAAAGCAAATGAGCAAAATATAGTTCTTTCTATTCTAAGTCAAAATAAAACCAAAAATCAATACTTTTAAGTAAAATAAAGCTAACTTTTAAAACACTTTAAAATAGTTTTAAATAAATAACTGTTTTGCATCCAAGGTAAGAATAGTACTGGTTAATTATTTACTGTCAGCAACATCTGTAATGTGTTACTGTTGAGATGAATTGGTAATAAATCTTGTTTGCTTCCTGTTTCTACTGTGACTGTGTATAGGTTACCTTCCGTACCAGAATCTATCACTGCAACATCAACAGTCAGGGAGTCATCTGCCTGGATATTCTGAAAGACAACTGGAGTCCTGCTTTGACTATTTCAAAGGTTTTGCTCTCTATTTGTTCCCTTTTGACAGATTGCAACCCTGGTAAGCAAATCTTTATGAATCTACAAATAATATGTGTTTGTTTAATGTTGGTCAAGACATAAATGTTACTATTAGGGAGATTGGCATCAGAAATAACCAGAGCGTCCACTAAGAGAATAGATATTAAAGAGTGAAACAACTCTGAACTCACAGGGAGACAGTGTTTCATAGTATGTCAAGATACAGGGACCTGGAAACATTTACACACTGTAAGTTGTAGATATAAGACATATATAGAATATCTGGAAAAAATGACTTTAAGGGATTAGATCCTGAATATTTGGCATCCAGAAGAGAAACCTTTTATTATGTCTGTATTGGCTTTGTTTGGCACACTTTCTATACCATGTGTACATACTTTGCTTGTAAAAAAGTTTTAACCTCAGATTCAACTTTTACTTCAAAATTCTATTTAAAATGAAATAACAGGTTTGTAGGTGTTACTGTATGACCAACAGGGAACATTTCATTCTGAATAGCATTATAAGATAGACACTTTGTGTGAAACTTATGTTACGATGCATAACAAAACAAAAAAATGTAGCCTCTCTCCACCAGACTTTCATAGTTGAATAAAATGTCAAGAATAACATGACAGGGAACTTGTGTCAGTGACATCTCAACAGTATCCTAGGGTGCCTAAGCAAGATGCACACAATGACTTCAGCAATTTCACAAGTCTCTTACCCCTAATTGATGAACTACAGATGATCAGTGGCTGCTGGGAGAACAAGACTGTCTTTTGTAGTGATGAGCCCCTGACGGGTTATGTCTTTATTCCTAAGCAGTCAGCCCTAAAGACATGGACTGAAGAGGGAGAGAAGATGGAATGTTCGTATATCTGACATTAAAGAAAGAGTTCATGGCTTTGAAGAGAGATAGAAGTAAAAGTAATGTAAATATAGTAGTCATGTATGATTCTCAAAAAATAAAATTGTTTAAAATATTTATTAAATAAAATACATATATTTTCTAAATATTAAAATATGTAGCTGTTTTCTAGACTTTTTTATGAAAAAGTAAAACATGCTGCTGAAATATAACTTTTAATATAATGCCTTATTAGAACTATATGTTGAAAGCATACATGTTTTAATGTCCTTCTTACTTTTCCAGCGGATCCTCTGGTTGGAAGTATAGCCACTCAGTATTTGACCAACAGAGCAGAACATGACAGGATAGCCAGACAGTGGACCAAGAGATACGCAACATAATTCACGTAATTTGTATGCAGTGTGAAGGAGCAGAAGGCCTCTTCCCACTGTGCTGCGGATCTTTATAGCCTTTACAATACGGACTTCTGTGTATATGTTATACTGATTCTACTCTTGCCTTTATCCTCTGGAGACTGGGAGACTCCCCCAAAAGGTAAATGCTACCAAGAGTAGAACTTTGTAGCTGTAGATTAGTTATGTTTCAAATGCCTACTTGCAAGTCTTGCTTCTTTGGGATATCAAAATGTATTTTGTGATGTACTAAGGATACTGGTCCTGAAGTCTACCAAATATTATAGTGCATTTTAGCCTAATTCATTATCTGTATGAAGTTATAAAAGTAGCTGTAGATGACTAGGAATTATGTCATTTGTATTAAGCCCAGATCTATTTCTGAGTATGTGGTTCATGCTGTTGTGAAAATGTTTTACCTTTGTCAGTTTGTAATGAGAGGATTTCCTTCTACCCTTTGTAGCTCAGAGAGCACTGATGTATCATCTCAAACACAATAAACATGCTCCTGAAGGCATAGTTTCTTGTCATAATGTTGCAAGTCTTGTCAGATGGTATGTCTGAGATGATTGTTGATGAAATAAAGATGTGGTTATGAAGATTGATTATTAAGGACTAGTACAAATGAATGAATTATTAAATTGAAAACATTTAAAAATCATAAGTGTGTACAGTTTTTTTACTTTAAGGAGAGAATACAGTGAGCTTAAATAAGAAGCTGGATTTAAACCATTGGTCTTAAAAAAATGACATAAAAATTCTACATTGGCAATATAGCATTTGAATTGAAAATGAAGTTCTGGGTTGTTATTCAGGACTCTCTCCATGTCATAACAGAACATTTTGTTTCCAAATTGGTGATTTCTGTTCAATGCTGGGCAATGTTGTCAGATAATTGCTATGCTGTTATTGCTTTTCTATGGTGCTTTTTCCTTTAATCCTGATCTTGAATTTTTATGGTGCATTATTGTTACTGTGATACATGGCCAGCAAGTATAGCCAGAGGCTCAAAAGTCCTGTTTGTCCTGAAGGTGGAATGTGTGTTAGTGTGCAGGTGTGGCACTCTCAGTTGAAGACATACAAGTTGTAAGAATTTAGAGGTTAAATTACTTCTAAGTGTAATTATTAAGTATACTTTTAAGCTTGTAATTATTAAGCTTGCTTAAGAGAATTGTAAACAATGTAATTGTACTATTTTTTTCCCTGTGCCTGGAATAAATTATCTGTGGTCAGTGTCTTTTCCGTCCTAAGTATGGTAATACAGTACCATAATAAAATTCATGGAGATTAATTATTAGGATAAAATCAAACATTGCTTTGGGCTGGGGAATGTTAGCTCAGAGGTAAAGACTAGCTTGGCATCTCCAGCACCAGATTTTTTTTTTTAGGAAAGTGAATCTTTATGTAGACTACCACTATTAAATAGGGGAATTCTATTCAAGTATTTGATGATAGAAATTTTAAATCAAAAAAAAAAAAGAAATTTTAAATCAGAGGAAAGCTTAAATTTAGCAGTTGTCTATTTTTCCTGCAAGTTCTGTCTACACACACACACACACACACACACACACACACACACGTGCGCGCGCGTGCGCACGAACACTACCCTTTAAAAGGGAACAGCTAACAACAACATGTTAATATTTAGAAGATTTAAGCTTTATCTTTGAAAACATCTGAGTCTTATTTTAAATAGAAATTAAAAATTCACAGTTCAAGTCAATGTGATGAGGGTGGAGGTGTTATATAATAGCCAAAACAATTTTAATGAACCATCGTGAGCTGTAGAAAGGACTTCTTCCTATTGCTGAGATTAGCCATCCTATACTCTAAAGTAATGAGTTTCTCTTGGTGCTAGAAAGCTCTCATTCTGAATGCCAGTCCAACTTGTAATTATGAAAATGCCTGAGCCACTGTGTGTCCCATGAGACCTGTGGTGTTCTAATGATCGTGATCACACACCTCCTGAGTAGCTGGGCGGTGTACAAAATAATGGTGAATATACATACCACCTGTAACTATTGCCTGTAAAAGAATTATTGATGGATTAATTGCAACTTCTCGAATCTATTTTAGTTTCAGACTTATTTCTAATGAATATTGGGTAGTTTATTAATATTTGCTACAGGAACACTTAGCATGGTTCCCCTTGTTTAAACACTTGAAAATGAGACAAGTAGTACTAAACACAAAGACATCTTATAAAAACACATAAAATGTTTGTATTGATAAACATATTGAGTATGTTACTTTAATTATCTGGACATGAACTTTTCTTTTAAACTAGGAAATCTTAATTAATTGTGGGCATCAGAATTTGTAGTTTTGACCCATACTACCTTTTCTCAGCAGAGTTTTGCTCTCTGATATATAAAGAACTGAAGCCAGTCCACTGGTATTTAGTGATATTCAAGTAATACAAGGACTACTAGTGTATAAGTGTGAGGCAGTTTGCATTATCATCACATTAATGTGTACATTGGCACATTGTTAGTCCCAGTTTTATATTGTGGAGTTTGGACGGATAATTTAAACATCAGTTTTTTTTTTTTGTCAAACCACTAATCTTATAATAATTACATCATGGTTATATTTCAATTAATGTTCCTTATTCAGAGTAAGTAAATGTATAAGCCTCTTTGTTCTATATCTAGTCACAGGTTTTGCAAATAATACCCAAATAAAAATAATTACATTTTAGGAAATATAAATTATTGAGTCAAATCTCACTAGCTATTCAGTCTTTCCTTAGGAAGTTCTTCAGTGTTTTTTGTGTTTATCTCCAGTGTGCCATGGAGCGTTCCTGCATGGTAGACTGATAGTGCTTTCAAAATGGTCAGAGTACATTGCTGAGTGGCTTATGTAATGCTTTACCAATGGTAATGAGCAGTGGTAATAAAGCCTCCCTCACTGTCAGACAGTGTCCACTTTGTTAAACTAGAATTGCAAGGTGATCCTCCTGATGGGCATGTGCACATCTGTCAACAGCATATGCCTTTCTGCTCTTGTGCTCCCTCTTCTTTTCTTCTTGATTGCTCATCTCATAACCAGCTCTGTAGGGAATACCCTAGAACCAGCGTCTTCCAGTTTGTAATCTTCTGTGCTTGCAACTGCTCGTGTTTAGATTGGCAGTCCAGAGTGAATTTTAAGTAAGAACTTTCAATGTCAACATACATACTAATATTAAGACTTTGTAAGGGGAAAACTTTAAGCAGCTTATGACCGAGATTTGGATACAAGGATAGCTACAGACATCCTTTAGTAGCCTCATTAAGTCCAGGTTAGACAGCAGAGCTTATATATTCTAACATAAGCAGAGCAGTGCATACCTAAATAAATAGCATGGCATGTAGACAGGTCTGTTGCGTACAAGTCACCGAAAAGTTTTCTTCTCAAATCCCCTCAGATTATCTCCAACCCACCCCTTCAATGAACATTTCTGTTTCACAACTCTTGTTTGTCAGATTTGTTTTTCTGAGATAACATCTGTACAAGCATCACAAAGAATTAAGCATGTGGTTATTTTCCATTATCAGCAATAGACCAGGTGTCCTCTCTAAAAGTCAAGAACTTGCTTTGTATTTCTTTTTGGAAAAGATGGAGTAGGCGGGTGGATGGGTGGTTGCTAGAAGCTGTGGATATGTATAACCCCTTAACTGGTTTACATTGTGGGTTTGTTCTGCAAAGTTTAAGTGCTTGCTAATCAATTGGTTTATTTAGAGAGTAGGAAATATACAGAGGTGAATACATTTTCACATCCTTGTTAAGCAGTTTGTCACTTTCCTGTCCAGATAGATTTTTCTCCCTATCAAAAGAAAACACATCTTTGGTAAAAATGTATTTATTTTCTGCTGAAAGAGAAGTTTGAACAGATGAATCTGCTTATAAAACAACAATAAAAATTTGTTGTGTAATTTTTAGTAAATTTACTCAATCTGTATAATATTGAATATATGTAATTCTGACATTTTGAAAATATTCTTGGGCTACCAAGATGGCTCATCAGAGAAAGGTGCTTGCCACACAAGCATGAAGACCAGAAGTAGACCAGAATCCACATAAGTGCAAGGAGAAAACATCCTGAGTCCATGCCTCCCTCTTAGTTATTGTACATGCACACAAAAAGAGAAAAGATAGTCTTTTTTCCCACTTTTTTATTGGTTATTTTATTTATTTAATTTCAGATGTTAGCTTTCTTCCCCATTTCCTCTTCACAGTCTCCCCATCCTCTCCTCCCTCCTCCCTGACTCTATAAGGGGGCTCCCCCACCCACTCCTCAGTGGCCTAGTGTTCCTCTATCCTGCATCATCAAGCCTCCACAGAACCAAGGGGCTCCCCTCCCAGTGATACTAAATAAGGCAATCCTCTGCTACATATCCAGCTAGAGCCATGGGGTACCATACTCCTGTGTACTCTTTGGTTGGTGGTTTAGTCCTTGGGAGATTTAGAGGGTCTGATTGGTTGATACTGATGTTTTTCCTATGAGATTGCAAACCCCTAACTTTCCCTTTAGTGTACTCTGATATTTGTACAGTTGCGAAGAGCTGTCCTTGCAGTCTCAAAGTGTATTGCCTTTGTTAAGAGACTTGTGACTGTACCTGCATTTTAGGAAAGTAGGAAAAATGAAAGGGATGGTCTTTGGGGAATTATTTTAACAAAAATACTTTAAGGGAAAGAACTACATAAAGTATGTAATATGCTGTGTGCTGCTATATATTAGGGAGCTACCCTAGAATGTTGAAAGCCGTTAATGAAATTTCCTATCTACATGGTCTATAAAAGAGAGAAATGGAATAACATACAAATCAAAGGGCTTTTTACTCTGTTGCTCAGTGTTGTTCTAATAAGTCTAACTGAAAGGTGACTTGCTAATTATAGTTATCTCACTTGGGCATTTAAATCAGCTGAGCAAACTGGGCCCACCATGATGCAATATGGTCAGGAAGTAAACCCACTAAGAAGTGAGTTGAACGGTGCTGGCATCAGAAGCCTGACAGTCAAGACCCCCAAAATATAAGGGAAGTTGAGCGTTTTCTAGTGATTTGAGATTGGGAAAGTTATGTGAAGCTTCGTCTTATTTCCTCTGAAGTGATGAAAAGTAAGTTGTGTGGAGTATAGAGGACTAAGGGAGTAGAGAGAGTGATCTGCTTGTCCCCTTAATGTGCCTGCTTCACTGTGAGTGGAACTCTGGCCTTCTGAATGTCCTTACCAAACAGTGAAAGTTGGCATTTATCTCCAAACAGTAGTCATGGTTACTATATAGTATATATAATGAGAAAGTTTTCTATAGGTTTTTAAATGGCACAATTAAAAGTGTATACTACATTCTGCTTGTGTGTATTAATTGTGTACATTAATGGGACTTCTAAAAAGAAATAATTAATTTTACTCAGTCACTACATTGTTATTTGTGTACTTGGAAAAATAAATATTGTCCTGGATTCTTAGAAGTATCAGAGACTACAGCAAAAAAAAAAAAGTTCTAATGAAAAAAGTTATGCTTGTTAGGTAATAAGGGATATGCAGAAAACAGAAGCAGGAAAAGGAGTTAGGGAGTGGGTGTGGGGAGGAAGAAGGGAAGTCATTCTTCACTTATGACACAGGTACACAGGTACAGGTAATATAGACATCAGGGTTTCAAGTCTTCAAAGACATGGAGAT